TAATTGTACTTTCAATAAAATCAAATTGTAATATTTTAAAAATTATTTATTTTTAGGCTAAGTGTAATTTAAGACATCCACCAGGGAATGAAATATATAGGAAGGGAACAATTTCTTTCTTTGAAATTGATGGACGAAAAAATAAAGTAAGATTGTTAATTAAATCACTTAATTTTTTTTTTTTGCTGTTCATTCATTCATAATTATTCTCCATGTTATTTCATTACGAATTTCAATTTTAAAAATAATTATACTGGTATTCAAGTGTACAACGACTTGAAACAATGTCTGTAGTAAATAAAAATAATCATTATTTTAAAAAAAATTACATTTTCACAGAAAAGGAAATTTTTTACAATTAAATTGAAGATACAAAAACTTTTAAGAGATGACAAATTGCTTGTGTAATGCTTTCTTTTTGTTTTCTTAACTGCTAATAATTGTTAAAAATGCCTTTTATTTATAATTAATGAAGTATATTTTTTTATTCTAATATAATTTCACAGACTAGAGTATATTCTCTTAGAGAATAAAACTCTATTAAAATTAAAAAACATACAAATTATACTTGAAGTGAGATTTTCAACCTACATTTTTATTAAATTTTGATGTTGTTATATTGTTTTAATTTATCATCAAATATAATGTATAAAAATATTTAATCTTACAGGTTTATGCTCAAAACCTTTGTCTTCTAGCCAAATGTTTTTTAGATCATAAAACATTATATTATGATACAGATCCATTTCTGTTTTATGTGATGACTGAATGTGATAATAGAGGTTTCCATATTGTCGGTTATTTCTCTAAGGCAAGTTAATTTACTAATCAAGCACATTTTAGTAATGTAATTGAAGTATTTTATTCATATTGATTTTTTAATAAAGGAGAAAGAATCAACTGAAGATTATAATGTAGCCTGCATTCTGACACTCCCACCTTATCAAAGGAAAGGATATGGGAAATTGTTAATTGAATTTAGTAAGAAATTTAGTTTCTTAATATTAAGTTAAGAACATTGTTTGGTTAATTAAACAATACACTTATAAAATTTACAATTTTAGGTTATGAGTTATCTAAATTTGAAGGTAAAACAGGTTCTCCAGAAAAACCTTTGTCCGATCTAGGATTATTATCATATAGGAGTTATTGGTCTGAAACGATATTGGAAATAATGGTGAATTTGAAGCCTGGGGAAGGTGGTGAACGTCCTCAAATCACTATAAAGTGAGTATATACCATTATAGTAATAATACAAATTTTTAGCATTAAGTGTGCTATGTAATAAAGAATGATATATAACAGCAATTCTTGATCTTTTCTCTTTCATGGACTTACATTTAAATATGTCTGGAAGCTGCAGACTGTTAGAAGTCTGATGCTTTCAGACATTCTAATATTTTTTGAAAAACAAAAATTCAAATCTGGAATTATTGCTTGAATGACGTTGAAAGTCATTACTGAAATTTAAAATACTTACTTTGACAAGTCAGAATTTTATATTAAAATATATACAGTATATATAACTGACTGCCTTTAGTTCATGTGATTATGAAGTATAGAATATAATAGAGACATCCACAAGTTCAAATTTTTTTAGTTCAAATAATGAGTATGTTTATCTATGTATTTATTATCTGATTATTCATAAAACTAGAAAAATATTTCTAAGTTACTTGCAAGTCTCCAGAATCTTTTTGACCATTGAGGTCTGCACAGAACAGATTAAGGATTGACAATATTTAATACTTAAAGTACATTTAATTAGTATTAACTTAAAAACAAGATTATTATTCTAAATTTTTTTTACTGTTTGGAGAAATTACAAGTAAAAACAAAAAATTTAATATAAAATAATTTTTCTTTTGAAATTCTGAAATAAAATACTTTTTTATTTCAAAAACGTTTGTTTTTGAAATAAATAAATTTCTCGGCAAAGATAAGGTGTTATTTATATACTCCTGTGGACGTAAAATTAATTCACTTTACAGGCCAAAATAACAACTTCATCATAAAATTCTAATATTACTTTAAAAGAAAATAATATTGAATATAAAATTTTATTTAATTTTATTATGTTTTTATTCTTTTTCAGTGAAACATCGGAATTAACTAGCATTAAAAAAGAGGATGTTATATCAACTCTTCAGTACCTGAATCTCATAAATTACTATAAAGGTCAATACATCATCACCTTAACCAAAGATGTAATAGAAGCATATCAACGTGCTGCGGCCAAGAGAATCGTTCGGATCGATCCAAAATGTCTACACTGGACTCCTAAAGATTGGTCAAAAAGAGGAAAATGGTGAAAATAATATATTTAGTGCACAAAAGTTCTTTGCATCATTTGATCTCATTTTCATCATAAGACTAAAATCTTCAGGTTCTTTGTTGCAAAGTGACTAATTTGCAGAATTAGTTGACATTACATTCTGTGTATAAATGCCAAAATCATTTATAGTAAGTGAGGACTACTTCATCTGTAAATAGTTTCCGAATTCTGTAAAGTTTCATCTTTTTGGTTCCCATCATTCCGACCGAGTACGATCACGACAGAAACCATTTTCCGATGTCACTTCTTGCATATTTAAAAATGGCACATACGAAGAGGCAGAAGAATATGGTTCTTCTTTGAAATCAGAATGTCGTAACTTTGACTTAAAAAAAAAATGTTAACTCTTACTATATGAATTTTGACTTGAATGAATGAATTAAAAATGTGTAATAAAGGAATTTTTTTTATAGAAGAATTGTATTTATAAATAGAAGCTTAAGATTTGCATGACAGAACAGTTTTGTTGTCAGATGATCATATATACATTAAGGGATTCATACCTCACAATTGTCAGATCAGTTCAAATCCACTCATCACTAAGATGGCCATGCAATATCAATCTACCAATATAGTGATCTGGATTCAAATCCAGTTCAGACTAGGTAGTTTGGACCAAGGCATCAGTCTCCATCTCACTTATGCTGACTATTGCATATCTGATCTGCCCATAATGAGTGAAATTGTGAACAGCCTTGTAGATTTTAAGATTATAGTGTTTTATACTGTTGCCAGTTAATTAAATCTAATTCAAATCCTCATTATTTTTATTGGTTTTTACAATTTATTCGTTATTCCTCTTATTGCATAGGATCTAAAGTTATTTTTCTTATTAAACTTTTACCAATAAAGTAATATTTCAAAGAGAATTTATCTACTGAGTTTTCTAAAGTAAGTAATGTCTATTTTGTAATTATAGCTGAAATTTTACATAATTAGAGGTTCAAATTTTCAGATTAAATTCTAGAAATGGCATCATTAATTTATTCACATATGAATAAACAATTTGCTAATAAAAAGTAAAGACGAATCACTAAGCAAATCATAGTTTTTTAAATAAAATCTTTTATAATTCAGATAATTTAAATAAGATTGAAGCCAAAGAAAGTGTATTTACTACTGTTATTCTCTTCGATATTATTATCTTTTTCATTTCCAAGTTAGAGTTGCAACATGGAAGATAAAATCAAGTTTGATATTTCATTGTGCGAAATATAACGAAAGTTAAAGGAGCTTTCACACCTCATGCGTTTAGAAAATAATGAAACACGTACACGAATGTAAACTAACACCATGTTTTCATTGCTGGGAAGTGTAGTGAAAAGAGAAATGAAGCAAGGAAAATTAATTCTATTCTCTTGCTTGTTTCACTTGATATTTCTTTTTATCTTTAATACAACTCTTAAGCTTTCCTTTTGACAAATATATATGAGTATATACACAAATACAGCTGTATATCAGTATGTAGCTTTTATTGTAAGGTATATAATGAAAGCTTTCAAAAATATAAAAACTCTCCAGCAGATGTCATGTTAGTTGAATCGCTAATCGTAAAAGTTTTTAAATAAATGCTTATTTATTTATTTATTTTTTACTGATTAAGCGTTGTATTCGTTTTATTCAGAACACGTTATTTTTCTTCTAATTTTAAATTAAATTTTTTGAGAATCTTTATTCTGCGAGCACTTTCCAGGCTTTCTGTGGAACCCGACACTTACTGGTCTAACCTTAGCGATCCGAACTCGAACCAGAACCTCCAGTAATAAGCTAATGCTTTTTTTGAGATTCGTGACGCTATCGGAATTCTTTATAAACTTATGATTTATAATTTGACAATATACCGATTTGTTTATACAATGCTAATCATAAAATAATTTTATTCGGATAAAATTGGCGAAAATTATCTGATTTTTTTAATTTTTAATAAAATAAACAGTTTAAATATTGACACACCAAAAATTAATAATGGTAAATTAAGTTGTCATGGAGTTCTAGTCCAAACTGCAAGCCCATTATGGGCTCGGCTAGGCTCCACAATGTGATGATGATCGGGGCCCCCACATCCTAAAAGGGATTTTTCTACCCGTCCGGATTCGATTCCGGGTCCTCAGAACAATAGGTCGACACCTAAAAGTCACCCTCGTATAACCCTAATTAAATTCCAGAGAAATGTCGCGTTATGCAAGATTCACATTAAACATAAAACATAGATTTAAGTTTCCAAACGATTTTTTAATATAAATTTCATATATTATATAAGAAAAAGCAGTTTTATAATTTAACTCAGATAATTTCAGTTAAAAAAAAACATGAAGTACCAAACAAAAATATAATTTTGATTTCTCAGAATTAACTTTAACTAACTTGTCCACACTTATTACCTAATTAAATGCCGTTTTCAAGAACGAAACTGGAAAATAAAAATGCCAAAGAGAATTTACGTGTATAAAATTACAAACTTGTTAGTATAGAATATTATTTTACATTTTTCTAATATGATTACCATGAAAAATAAAAATCATTCATCATTACAGAGGAAAGCTTTCATCAGTTAAGGGGAAATTGCACAATCTACAATAAGGTAAACAGATGATTTCGTCTTATATCGAAATCACTGCAATTATGAGGGTTACCTGTATTTCTAAAAACAAATGTAAAATTTACAAACATTTCGCTCGATGTATCGGGCGAAAACAGTCTTAAATGCTATTAAAATAAAATTCTTCAAAAGAGTTCTGGAAGAATAAATTACAGGGCAGAAGAATTGAAATTTAAAACTTAACAATGGCACAGTACAATCTCGATAATATGGTAATTCACTAGTTCGAGGTGTTCAGTAATCCGACACTAGTCGACTCTCGGGTATTAATGGTGTGTTTTCAAGTCGTAGACTAGTTCAGAATCCATTTTATTATACAGTCGATCCCCCTATAATTACGGTCCCTATAATTACGATTCCTATAAAACTACGAAAAAATATACGTATTTTGGAATGTTGAGTCGGATTAGTGTAGAATCGATTAATTTTATGGAAGAAAACCTTTCAATCAGCCGTAGTCCGTAAACTTGACACGTGTCGGGCTGTGATTGGAACGACTTGTAAGAAATCGGATTCCTAATAAATTGGAACGTATCTATATCTTATAGGGGGGTCGACTGTACTAAATTTGAACACTCCTACTAAACCTGGCACAATGTCGAGCCCGAGCTTGAACATTCGAACTTGGTCACGATATTAGACTCGTCATATTATAATACAATACTGTATAAATATAAAATTCAGATCCCGAAATTTCCACTAAATTTAGTGGGAATTCACCAACTTGGCAACATTGATTAACGGCAAATATTTTATTTCCGTTTGTTTAAACCATTGAATGCATTTTACTTCTAGTAATCTGACACTGTTCCGGTCTCATATATGTTGGATTACCGAGATTATACTGTAGTAACAGTATCTTACAAGCAAATTAAGAACTTGTACGAGATCAGCAGGCTTAAGAACATGTAAATGTTTTAAACAGTAATTTTAAGTAACAGTATAATCATATGTTATACAGTAGTAAAAGTTTAGTGTATCATTCGTAAAAGCGTAAGTTATAAAGCGACTGATTGTATAATTTATAATTTATTTATTTATTATTATTTTTTAATATTTGAACGTTTCTATTAAAGCCCTTAAATTTTCTCCGGCTCGGGAAAAATCTCCAGCTTTCCCTCAGGATGGTTCTGGTTCCTCATCACCAGACTCCCATTGTAAACAAAAAAAAAAATCCCTCTTGGGCGAAAAGACCCGAAAATTAGGGGGAATGTCTTTCAATAACAGAAAAAATGGTTTTATATTTTTACATTTCATCTGTATTCTTTTATAATTTGCTGTATATTTTTATTGATATTCATTAAAGGTAATGTTTAATTAATACGAAACGCCATCTATTGTATCCTAGTACTGAAAAATGTTTTAATAACATAAAATGAATCATTTTAGAATTATGATAAACATAAATTTTCGAAATAATGCAATACCGAAAACGAAAATAATTTACTTGCGTATAAAACTAAACCTGATATTTGTTAAATTAATAATTAAATGATACAGCCGGACTCTTATTGGGCTACAATATGGCTAATAATTAATTATCCATATTATAACGATAGAGCCCGATAAGAATCCGGCTCTAACGGTTGAAAGTTATTTACATTTTATTTACTTATTTCATTTGAATTATATTATGGTAAATACGTCATGCATTATAAATCGTTTATATTAATATTTTTACAATCTACATACAGTATTTCTTTAGATAAGTTGATATATAGTAATTTCAATTTACTTCATCAATATTTGCTTTTGTTATCGAACGTTATTCTGAAATCTATAGCAATTCCTATTTTAGTTGACTTTGGTTCAAGTTTTACCTATTTACAACTGATGATTTAGTTGCCATTTATATTACAGTTCAAGTATGACCAACAAAAATTTGCTTTCTTCTCACTATGATCACCAGTATCCCTCCCCCTACTTATGCCATCAATCCAGAAGAAACTATAATTATTTCATTGCTAGCATAGGAGTTGGCTTTCACCAGATGGTTCCAAGTTCGGTTTCCGTTCTCCTTTGTCTATGTTTTCTATCTTGTATATATCTGGTTACGTAGCAATGTCCGTTCGTTAAAGTATCGGATATGTTGGGTCGTCGCCATTGTGGCCAAATCCACGATGAATGTGGAAAAATGATCATCTTAATGCCACAGAGCACTAAATGTTAAAAAAGTAATATTAATACTATTATTATTTTGAATAGAGAAGGTAACAGAATCAGCGATCTGCCAAAGAGGAATGCCTCCCGGATGGACTTTCTATAGGAAACTGGACCCTATTTAGGTGTTAGACACGTGGAAAAATTCCATAAGGCACGAACCCGCAACCAACTTACTAGTGTTCATTTAAAAATGTAGGGATTAAAAAATTAATTAGGAAACATTCTTTGTGTGAATTTATTTTGCACAATGTAAAAAAAAGTAAAAAATTCTATTATTTGTTTTTCCCATATTTCAGAAATTCTGACCATTATTAATAATTTTAGGTTTATAGATTATCAGTGTCTATTGTCAGAATAATGGCTATTGTAATAAAAATAATTAATAAATAGACGCCAAAGTATTATATTTTAATTTAGATTATTTCTTGTCTTTCAAAGAAATAAAAATTTAAATACACTATTGTTAAAAATACAAAAGGAAATTTTATTAAAACATTGGAAATTAATAATAAAATAAATTATAAAATGTAGTATAATATCCCCACTTTACGACTAGTATACATGATCTGTTTTATATATAAAATGTGTTTTTCTCTTGTCTTCTCTCAAAAGTCTATTTCCAAGTTTTCTCGCGCTGTTTTCACGAAACCCTATTTCTCTTGATAGTTCTCATAAAGCCCTATTTTTAAGAATAAATCCCAATATATAACACCATACAGGAAATACGTATAGGTCGTAAAACGAGGGATTACGATTAATATATTATCTCTACTTTAACACAGAATAAATAATTTATATAT